GGGAGCATTCTCAGTTTACATGCTGACCCACTTCTATTGTTCTATATCACCCCACCTCTTCCAGAGAATGGGACACATGAGAGGTAGCCACTTTCCTTGGTAACAGAGTGGCAGGGATGAGACTTGACTCCTCGCCCCATCAACCGTTCAGAGCGACCCAGAAGTTAGTTGCCGACGAGGGACAATTTCCCAACAATTCTTCTTAAATCCTAGTACTTTGGGGTTTACCGGGTGATGAGCTTGGTTGCCTAAACAGAATACAGCTTAAAAGCAATACAGTATTGTACAAGATACAATCTTATGTGGCCTTGGTGCCATGATCCTTAATTCACTTCCATGGAACTAAAGGCCACTTACAACTGGCCAGCTTCTTTCACACAGCATTTTTCCAGGTTGTCACCCAAACCGGCAACTGCTTTGGGTAAACCTAGTCAGCCTTTTCGGGGCGAGAACGAAACACTATTTAATCAATTTCCCCATCAGATTATTTTAAAGCCAGTGATTAAAATAATAATAGCTATAATCCGACACACAGCATAAATTAACTGCAGCCACTGAGACATTAAAATTGGTATATCCACTTGCTTCTAAAATACGCTTTCCATTCCCTTTTTCTCTAGCTTATCATTTTCTACTGAAGTTTCTATATTAAAATTGTAGCTTTCGGTAAACATAATTTGAAAAGTATTAGCTGCTCCCCATGATTACTGACACTGAAAAGAACACCACAAGAAATATGCCTGCAGGTGCAAAATACTGTAGCATTTATCAATGAACATATAAATAAAAAACCAATGCGCTGTTAAGTGTAAGAACATATATACCTACCAAAGTAGTCAGCCTTTGGACAAACATCCATCTCCTGCTCCAGGCGCTGGGTAAGAGCTTCTAATTTTAATTCAGCTGTGGATGGACCCTGTTCTTGCTGAGGAAGGAGTGTCTGGCAGGGTAGCTTTATTTTTGCAGAAGCGGTGGTTTCTTGGTGACCAGAGTCATGCCGCAGAGTGGCGGTGCCCTCTTTAAAAGGAGATTTCGGAACATCAGAAATCATTGGCCCATGAGATGTTGAGCAGATGGAATTCTGCTCGGGACTCATGCCAGACCCAGCACAATTGAGCCTGTGATTTTGACCGTGGACTACAAAGTGACCTGTCGGTTTCGGATGAGTGTTAGTTTGCTGATAATCTACACTTGGAGGTAGGGGAGCAGGAAGGAGGCCGGAAGCTGAAGGCTGAGTACTGTCACTATGCCTCGCCTGAATATTGCCATTGCTTTTGTTTGGAGTACCAGAAGCCCACAATTCCATGCCACAGTTTGGGTTAAAATCATCAGATCGATTGGAAGGGCGTCCAGAGAATGACGGAGACCTCTGCTGCGAATATTCCACAGGCAACTCATCACCAAACCCAGTGGAAGAGGACAACGGGGTACAGGCCTTAGAGAAAGACGATGATCTCGGGCAACCTGGATTCGGCTCATAGCTTTGGCTAAGCCCCGGGCCTTCGCCACTGCTTTCCTGACTTCCATATCCGCTTTCTGAAGACCTGTAGGAGTTTCGTGGCTGCTGGTATGAATGGAGATCTGCCTGAGGTTTCGTAGGACTTCTCTGCAACGACTCGTCATGATTAACGTTGGACCATAAATGGGGGCCCATGCTGGATTTCGGGCTCGAAAACTTGCCAGCATCTCTTCCCCAACTTTGAAGGCTTGCCCGGTTATCACTGTTATTGGGCTCCTCGCGAGAAAGAGAACAAAAAGATGTCTTAGGATTACATGGGTTCAGCTGACCTGCTCTCTGATAACTATGTCCTCCAGAAACGTCGGAACCCTGGAGACTTTCACTGTATCCGTAATCATCGCTGGACCTCTTGTCATCCTGGTATAACTTTGCTCGCTCTCCATCAGCATGCGCTTGGGGCTGGTTTGGGAAGGCAAGCTGATGGCCTGCACACACGGTTGACGGTGTAGCCAGAGGGGGCTTTGCTATATTTTCTCCTGAATGCAGTTTATTTGTTCCTGCAGTGCTTCTAGCCACAGGATGGCCTGGGAGAAGATGCTGAAGGCCAAAACCAGCCCCGCCATTTGGAGCCCCCGAGGCCGAGTTCACCAATTCCTCTTGTTCTCGCTGTTTCTGAAGGTGAATTTTGGCCATTTTGGTAGCAAAAACCCTCCTCGTTTCTTCAAATTCTGGGTTGTTCCCAACCGCTTTGTCTACTCGAAAGAGCCCATCCTTGGAGGCTTCATACATATTGAGATCTTCTATAAATTTACTCGCCTCCAGACCCAGGTCATCGTATTTGTCCATTTTGTAAAGATTCACTTGTGCCTACAAACAAGCAGGATGGAAAAACCAAAGCGATGGTATTTTAAGTGCTCAAGTCAGCTCAAGATTTCCACTCAGCAACCAATGGGGCTACTTAAGGCATCCAAAACATCCCATGTAAAACATAATTAATATTTTTTATGAGAAAAAGTAGAAATAAACAATAATGCAGGTCCCCAAACCTGTTCTTAAAACGTTTCCTCTTCCTCAGGTTATACAAGATAACTTTAAGTGCAGAGTGTATCCCCCCAAAAAATGGCAAGACCCAATTCTTTGTGCTTTTAATCGGACAGAAATGCTTCTTCAGGCTTCCCCGGCTTTTATTCACTTTGGTGGAAAATACTGAAATAATAAATAGAGGACAAAGGGGTGTTTTAGCACAAATCTCACCAAAACTCACACATTCTCTCCCCTGCTACTGCTAGAGAAGATTACCTCTTGGGCTAACCTTGGGGGCAGACAAACTGTGGGTCAGCAAGTGTTGTTTGGGGTCAGGTCAGGGTGGTGCAAGTTAGTTTCTAAACAGAGGATCTCTCGTGGATGCTTTTAGTTGAGATTCCTGCATTGCAAGGGTTGGACTAGATGACCCTGGGGGTGGGGGGATCCCTTCCAACCTTGCGAGACTCTGGGGTTCCCACGGGGTCGCCGCGCGTGGAGTAAACAGGAAAAGCCCTCCAACCAGAGGAAACAGGAGCAGCTCCGGGGAAGCGGCGCGCAGGTTCCTATCCACTGCGGAGGAAGGAAGGAAGGAAACGCGCGCTTTCCAGATTCCGGCCCCGCCAAAGCAGAGGGGAAACCTTCGCCGCTCCTTCGCCGCCCACCCAACCCGACTCAAACTTGGGAAAGGAGATTTCTCTCCTCGCCACCCCGCCTTCCTCAAGAATGTCCCCCTCCTTCCCGCTCCCTCTGGGGGGAAAGAGGCCACTTGGAGCAGCGCGCGCGCAGACCTTTTACGCGCAAACTTTTTACGCGCGGAAGTTCTGCTTGCTTGCTAGTTTGCGCGCAGGCAGCGGGCAGCGCCAACCCTTTGCTGCGGCGCTTCTCCTCCTGACTCACTCACCCGAGGGCGGACTCCGCCTGCTCTGTGGGGGGAGACGAGCTTCTCGCCTTCCTTCCTTCCCCCCCGACGAAAAGTTCTCGCGGCTGCGCTAGCGGGGAGGACGGCGCGCTGCTTCTCCTTCCCCAAGGGCCGTGGCGCCGCCGCTCGCCCCTGCTCTCCGCGCAACCGCGAGGTTTCCTTCCTCCCTTCCGAGGCGCCGCTCTTTTCGGGCCGCCGAGGCACTTCGGCCTCCTCCTCTTCCCTTTCTCGCTCGCTCGACAACCCCTCGCCTTCCCGTGCCAGGCTAGAGGAGGAGGCGGGAGGAGGAGGAGGAGCCCAGGCCGGCGGGGAGGAGTTGCGAACAGGTCTTTGCAACGTGGTTGAAAGGGAAAGAGAGAGCGAGGGAGACCCGCGTTAGTCAGCGCTGGAGCGCGACCAAAACCGCCCTGCTCTCCTCCCAGCGCTTGCAGCCTCGGGTGATTTACTCGGAGCCAGCACGGGAAACGGTTCTCAGTGCCCGTCCCGAAGTACTATCAGTAGCAGCAGCAGTAGTAGTCCCTGCACGGTTGGCGCTCCTGCCTTCAAAACAACCCTGCGAGGTAGTCCGGGCTGAATGGCGGGTGCCTGGCTCGCTGTCAGTGGCCGCTGACACTTAACTCAGTGGTTCTCCAAGGGTGGCAAATCACCCTGGTGTAGCAGGAGGGGATGGCAAGTGTGGCAGGAAGATTCAAGGACAATCAAAGAAACGTTTAAACATGTCAGTGCAGTGTAAACATGTCTGGCGTCACTCCGAATGTGGATAGGTATCTTTCCAAAACGAGAGCAAGAGCATCAAGGGATAACTGTAGACAGTCCCAGGACAATGCCAGGAGTTGTTTCTGTTTTCCAATGTATTTCTTAACAATAATAATAATTTTTAAATTGGTGTGGCGCAAGTAGATTTTTATTATATAAATTCAATTAAAAATCCTATGCCCTTTTAAAATGTGTTTTGGGGGGCGTTATTTGGTTGTTTTTATTATTTATTTTGCGGTTTTATATCTTGATTTTATTCTGTGCACTGCTCTGAGACCCCCGGGGTTTAGGGCGGTATCTAAATTAAATAAATGAATAATATTCCAAAAGTTTGGCCCAGAGAACAAAGTTTGAGAACCACTGCACTAACAAGGCGCTGCTTTTGAGCACATGTGAGCAATGCTTCCTTCCCTCACGTTTTCTATCCATAAACAGCATTTTTGTGGGTGCAGAATTAGTCACACTGACTTCCGAATCCAAAAGGGCAGGGGGTTTTCCCCCCCAGCTGGAGCTCACCAGAGCTCAGCTCCTGCACCTCTCAGGTGAGTGCCATTGCCTTTCTGAGAGAACAAGGGAGAAGTCTGTCGTGAGCACCTCTTTTTCTAGAAAAATAGCCCTGCAAAAGGGTATAGGTGAATGTGAAGCTAAGGACCAAGACCAAGATGACGGTTCCACCAAGGTCTTGTGTTGAGCATGCTGTTTTGTGGAAGTGAGTTGTGGGCAACCTGACACCCACCAGGAGCAACACATTGTTCATGAAGTGTGAAGAGACATTAGTGTCTCTTTTGGAAGTGCCTGGGGCATATGCTGCCCAGAGACCATCCGAGTCATGCCCCCTGACCCAAGGTCAGAAATTATAATTCACACTGCTTCAGTTTATAGTAATTAGTAAAGCTTTCATTCCTTAAAACACAAGCAGGGACCCTCGAGCCTATGGACCAAGTTAGGATTGGTACAGGCCCCAATTTGGCCTATGAGGCCATTTTTTCCAAACTGCTCACCTGCCCTACAGCTGATGTCATTGATATGTGACTTCAGGTGTGAGGTAGGTAGAGACATGGATGCAAAGGAACAAATAGGAACCTCTTGATTGTTCCCTGCCCAAAATGGGAACTCCAGTACAGCTGCTCCCACCAGGGCTTGCTGTCAGCACAAATATATGTTTTTATTTATAATAAAAATATTATAATCCTCAGTTCAGTAAAAAGATCTCCATGTGCTTTATGTAAACCCAGCAAAAATGCAAACAAATCATTTAATATTTTCCCTAAAAACTAGATTAAAACAAAGCGCAAATCACAAATAAAACAGAGAATTTTCATTTGCCCAAACAAGGCTTGAATATGCCAAACTAAGCTCTCAGTATGACAGCCCTGAATCTGTTTGTGTTTACCTATTATTTATACAGTAACTGTAATTAGAAAAAACGTGCTATAGGTTTTTCTCAAAAGAAAGCTGTATGGCAGGTCATTACGGCTGCAATTCTATAGTCACACATGAATTTGAGTCCCCTTAAAGTCAGTGGGACTTACTTCTGGGTAGACAGGTACAGGATTGTACTGAAATATCCACATTTTACATACTAGGGAACTGTGAGCGTTACTTGTGCAAAGCTGAGCAGAGATTTGAATGACTAGGTCACCTATGTTCTCATTATTCTTTTGGCTGGTTCCCATATTCCCTTGTACTTTTATTTTTACGGACATGACATTTTGCCAAGTACAAAGCATCAGACAAAATGTTCTGAATGCATTCCGTCTATAGTAAGAAAGCCCTGTGTTTCCCTCACATTCTGTCTACATGCTTGATTCCCTAGTGGCTAGAGAACAGTTTCTCTCTCTCTCTGTCTCATGACATTAGAACTCATAGATATTTAGTGAAACTGAATGTTCGAATATTCAGGATAGATAAAAGAAAATACGGTACTTATTCAGGCAGTGTAGTCAAACTGTGGATGGCCACAAACCTGGATGACTTTAAAACAGGATTAGACAAATTTGTGGAGGAGGGGGTTATCAATACCTAACACGATTCAGAGCGGGTCCCTTCCTTGCCCCCATGACACCCTTTGATTCTCAGTGCAACCATCAAGTAAGGTTGGCTTGATCCCCGCTCTGCCTTGTTCCTGATGCAAATCTTCACTTATCCCTTCTTCGCTGGGGAAGGCACCATATTGTGGTTCGCCTCAGGTGCCAAAATGTATTGGGCCAGTGCTGGGACCAACACTAAGAGTATATTGCATTGACAATGCCATATATTGCAATGGGCTGATTCCATGTGCATGTTCATTATGATTGATGCATCCTTTATCAAATTCCACAGAAATGCAATCGCTCTTTAACAGATTTCTAACTGAGTCAGCTCATATGCCCATCATCAGATAACCAAGGAAAGGAAGGGATAAAAAATTAGCAGCTCCAACCTAACCATGTCTACTCAGAAGTCCGATTGAATTCAGTGGAGCTTACTCCAAGGTAAATTGAGTTAGGGTTGCAGCCAGAGCTGTAATCCAAAACATATGTGGTATATGGGCATGTCTGAATTGATCCTGTCATGTCCAGATGATAAAACCGTGTTTTGAGAAATAAAGCAAGTATTTCCTTCAATATATAAGCAAATTATGAGTGTGCTCAGTGTGCAAACATGCTTGTTTATTTTTCCCATCTGTTATGTACTACTCAGCGGTATTTTGTTTCACAGAATAATTGCTGCCCTTAAATCAAACATTACTGATTTTATTAAGAAACCTGCCTGATTAATCAGACTGAGGCTTTGAACAAAGGAATTTCCCATGCACAGAATTGCTAATGGCAAATAATGGAGGGAAGGAAGAAAAAACTCAGCAACCACCTGGTTTAATCCTGCTCCGATTTGTCAAGAGAACAAAGCTGCCTGCAGGACTGCGCTTGAAAACCACGAGGACGTTTAGCGCCCTCTGTGAATCTGTCTCAGTGGAAAAAATGAAGCTGATGTCTGCACAACTAAAACGAAACCTCACCAGACAAAAGATCCTGCTCAAGTATATATGCAGGCTTTCCTTTCCTGATAAAGACAAATACAACAATTGTAAGCAACTCTGAAAAGTTCTTGGGACAATTTCCATCACACACACACAAAACACTTTTGTGCACAGATGTAGCAGCATAGCATATGACAGAAGAAAACCGGCTTGTGAGGAACATGACAAAGCAGGGGTAGATGCCCTCTAGATTTTGGTAGATTACAGTTTCTGTTATCTGGTGTTGGTGGGAGTTCTGTCCCAACAACATATGGAAATCACCACATTGGCTACCCGTGATCTTAGGGAAGACAGGATAGGAAAGGGATACCCCATCTCATCTGACAACCCCACTACGATTCCAATCCAATCCAACAGGAAAGGCCAGGTAGCTCCAAACCTAGTTTATCCTTGCCAAACATGAGAGCATAAATAGGAACTAGCAGCTGTCAGAAGCAGAAAGATTCCGGATTTCGGTGGGTTGATGAATCAGGTTGCCATAAAGCTTCATATATGCTTTGTGAAGTTTTACCTGAAAGTACTAAAGGCACGTACAGGTATTGAGCAGTTTGCAAGGGCTGATCATATTTAATAAGTTCTGATGGATTTTGACATTAAAAGACCTGGCGTTTTAATAAAGTGCGGTGCAGCGAACATAGGAGAAATGTCTGCTGTTATAAACCTCAACACATCTTTCCCTGCTTTACTGTTTTTAGCTTCAAGCATGCAATTTCTTCTAACACCTTGCCACCCCTACCCTTCAAGTCTGAGCAATTTGTTCCAAGAAATCGCAACACAGAATTTATCTTGCACCTGCCTTGCCCTTCACCTGTCCAGCCTGCTCTTTTACCTCCAGCGTGCCCATTACTGCATCTCCAGCCCCAGGCTCTAATTCCTGTTTACTTGATCCCGATACCTGACTCCCAGCCCACGCACAGCCACAAGTCCTGCCTCTGGGTCAGTGTTAGAAACTGAGATATGAAAGCTAGGAGCTAAATGGCACTTTAAACCTAAGTTATGGGTGCAACAACGGAATGTCTAGGCACACTTTTGTTTATAACAATAAAACAAAGCTGAAAATGAATAAACTGCAGCTAAAATATTTTGTTCGTTTTTCACATGGTCCAGTCCTTCCCCTGCCCACCCACCTCCCATATATTCTTAAGTGGGTCTCTTCTCCAGTCTTCAGCTGGACGTGGGAAGGCAGAAAAAGGCCCTCCTTTCCTCCCACTCTGCAGTTTTAATCTGAAATCTTAGGTGCCCAGAGCTCAGAAATGGCTCGCGCTAATGTACAGTGGTACCTCGGGTTACATACGCTTCAGGTTACACACTCCGCTAACTCAGAAATACTGCTTCAGGTTAAGAACTATGCTTCAGGATAAGAACAGTAATCGGGCTACGGCGGCACGGCAACAGCAGCAGGAGGCCCCATTAGCTAAAGTGGTGCTTCAGGTTAAGAACAGTTTCAGGTTAAGAACAGACCTCCGGAACGAATTAAGTCCTTAACCAGAGGTACCAGTGTAATTCCTTGTCGTAAAATGCACCTAAAACAATGAGAGTTTTGAACACTGCTCTGGACTGCAGGTCCTCCCCCCAGCTTCTTGCTCACAAAACAGCAAACTCTGCCCTCAAACGATCTAAGAGAGAGAAGGGGTGCCACCCATTTGTCATCTGGTACGGAGCCCCCTTTTTCTTGGTGCTCTTAATGGTCCACCCTGCTAGACAATCCACTTGTTAGGATTATAGGCATTAGAAACCTGGCACCCACAAACCCGTAATAGTATTAACGAATGTTGCTAGTGTGCACAATGCTGCAACCATTGCAATTTGTTATTTATTGGCAGAACAAACATGGAATGTATGTTCCAGCCACAGTTAAGCCCATTATTTCAATCATCATCTTCGTTCTTTTAATTTGTTGATGTATTTCTTTCTTTCTTTCATGACCTTGCCCCCCCCCCCCATGACATACAAATGACTTAAATAAATAAAAATAAAAATTATCAGGACTTCTACAGGTTTCGGGTGTGGCTCATGGTGGCCCCAAAGGCCCCATACCACACAAATTATTGGAAAATCTTCAGGGGCAGCAGGAAGCTGCTGACCCACCAACAGACTTCCTGTTGTATGTGTTTACTTCATTGGGCAGAGAGATTATATTGCCAGGCACTCAAATACAAGAGTGGCTTAGCGATTTGCATTTGGCAATAAAAGGCTTCTATTGAGAAACTGGTTCTTCCACAAAAGCAGCAGGGCTAATGCCACAGACTGAGCGATTTCTTCAAAGATGCACATAAAAAAACTAAGCAAGCAGTAGAGTAATTACACATTCTTTTTCTTCTTACTTCGAAACAACTAAGAATAAGGAAGGGAAAGCAAGCTTCTTCCATAAGCGGAATGCCTTCTCCTCCACCCCCACAGCGCTCAGGAAACACTTTTCTTTCTTCCCTGCCACAAAACCCGAACAGAGGATCTTTACATTTCTGAGGAGAACAGGGGCATGTCATGGTTTAAAAATAGCCACCATCAGGGCACACAGAAAGGCAAATTAGATGAAAATGGAGATCCTGTCTCTTGAGCTTCCTTTTATAAGGAAGGACTGGGGGGCTGGGGCTGGGACCATAGCTCAAGGGGAGAGGGGCTAAGCCTTATGCTCTCAGTGCCGTTTTCCTGAGGTGAATTGCTGCAGCCGCCCCACAAATAGGTACCTGCTCAATTTGGTAACATAACAGAGGTACATGACACAGGTGCTGGCTCAAACAAGGCAAGTAGCAGCAGGCGATGGGAAGCGGTGGGTCGCATCCAACTAAGTTTTACTCAGAGTAGACTTATCAAAATCAGCAGGCCGGATGTCTGTTGATCCAGGTGGGTTTGAGTAAAACTTAGGACTCATCCAGACTCCCCCCTGCCACTTTCCCTTGGGAAAACTTGCTGTTACCGCAGAACTGGAGCAAACAAAAACTGGGTTTTCTCCGGTTTGATGTTCGCTCCATTTTAGCGCTAAATATTGGGTTTTCTGGGGGAAACGGGGGGGGGGGGCAAAGGCAAAACCGCATGGTAAAGGTAAAAAGGTAAAGGACTGCTGGATGGTTAAGTCCAGTCAAAGGTGACTATGGGGTTGCGGCGCTCATCTCGCTTTCAGGCTGAGGGAGCCGGCGTTTGTCCACAGACAGCTTTCCGGGTCATGTGGCCAGCATGACTAACCCGCTACTGGCACAACGGAACACCGTGACGGAAACCAGGGTGCAAGGAAATGCCGTTTACCTTCTCGCCGCAGCGGTACCCATTTATCTACTTGCACTGGTATGCTTTTGAACTGCTAGGTTGGCAAGAACTGGGACAGAACAATGTGGGGATTCGAACAGCTGATGTTCGGATCAGCAAGGTCCTAAAACTGCATGGACCTATGCCTAGAAAGTGCAGAACAAGCAGAAAGCCGCTTGGAACTATGCAGAAGTGTGGAACACAGAACAAGCGGAAGTGTGGACAAGCAACCCAATTAATAACAGCAAAATGCCATGTGGGGAAAGGATAAAAACCCTTCTCTCCCAATCCTCTCCCTCATGACTATTTTCCCTAAATTACCTTTTAATCAACAGGGGCTCTAATTGTAATCCAGTGTCTTGTCTGGTCTGTCCTATAGATACACTAAGCATGTGCCACGCAAGTGTGTATTACAATATTTTTACTTTGATATTTAATTTTGGTTTTGCTTGTTTTGCTATGGACTATTTATATGGGAATGGTTGCTGAAGGCAGAAAGCAAAAGACTAAGCCTTATCAGGAACGGTTGAAGGAGCTGGGTATGTTTAGCCTGGAAAAGAGGAGACTGAGCGGAGATGTGAAAGCTACCTTCAAATATCTCAAGGTTGTCACATGGAAAAGGGAACGAGCTTGTTTTCTCCTGCTCTGGGGGGTAGGACTCGAACCAACAGCTTCAAGTTGCAAGAAAGGAGATTCCTACTAAACATCAAGAACTTTCTGACCATAAGAGCTACTTGACAGTGTAATGGTCTCACTCAGAAGGTTTTTAAGCAGAGGTTGGGTGGCCATCCGTCATGGATGCTTTAGCGGAGATTCCTGCATTGCAGAGGGTTGGACTAGATGACTCTTAGGGTCCCTTCCAACTCTACAATGCCATAAACAACTATCTGACTTTTAGAAGACATCTGAAGGCAGCCCTGTTTAGGGAAGTTTTTAATGTTTGATGTTTTACCTATTATTATCATTATCATCATCATTATTATTAGTTGAGAGCCTCCCAGAGTGGCTGGGAAAACCCAGCCAGATGGGTGGGGTATAAATAATAAATTATTGTTATTATTCTATGATGGGTCATATCCAATGGTGGCTTTGCCTTTATCGCACCCAGTTTCTCCTCCAACCACATAGACCCTTCAGCTCACCTGAAAGGCTGCGGGAACTCCCTAGATAGAGGACAAAGGGCAAGTGGTTGGAAAGAAGGATTGGGGAAACCAGGTCCCCAGACTTCGTCTCTCCAGATCACCCTCTCCTGAGGCTGAGGGGAACTGCTTTCTGCTAAGGTTAAGGCACCATGGATACAACAACCCAAAGGGCAAAACGAAAGCTGTGTAGCGCCTTGCAAAGAGCTTGGGCTCTTTGGAATGCTTAACTTTGTCAACTTTGAACTGTTAATGCTCATCCTTGCTGTATCTCAAAGTGATACTCTGTTCAGAAGCAGGTTGTCAAAGCATGACAAGCTGTTGATCGAGGAAAACAAGCCTGAAGCTTCACGCTTCCTTTAGATGCTGGCCGGTGTTGCATGTACGGACCGATATTCACCTGGTTAAAACTGAAGGTTTGAATCAGGATTTTTGGCACATTCCAGCCAAAGCAAAAGCAGCCTCAGGAAAGGCTGATCTGGAGCGATCTTTAACCCTTCCCCTTCCTCAAGTTTCTCCCATCTAAAGCATCTCCGCTCGGCTTTTGCTACATGTCTCTGCACGTAACATATAAATGCTTAGAGGAGGACTTTAGGTAAGCCCTTTTAAATTCCATTTAGATCAACAGGAAAGTTCTGCTTTTCATTAAAGGTCAAATTAAACATTGCATGAATCCCGCTTTTTAAAAAGGGGTGCTTAATGCTGCTATGTTTTTTTTCAAGGAAATGTAACTGTGGGGCCCCAATCCAGCATGCCCCCCATTCTGGATAGGTTCCCTGTTGAATATCTCCCCGTCCCCCCATTGCTGTTCATTCCTGCACATTTGCAGCCAGAATTGTCAGTGGGAAACCTGAGTGAGATCGGTGCTGGATCAGGTCCCCACGGCTATTATTCATTCCTTTAAAAGAAAAGTGTCATGCTTTAAAATATATATTTGTGAATGAGTCCCCCATTGAACAAGATGGGACATCTTCTGTGTAAGCATACATAGGACCAGGTTGTATGTCTGCCCCATTGAAATTGGCAGACCTCTTTAAATGTTTCGTTTTAGTTAGGTCATGCCTAGCATTAATTGGATTGCAAACCGCCTTGGCTTGCTGGAAGGGTGACCTTACACAATTTGCCCCACCTCGAAACAAAAAAGCAAAAAATAACCGCCACCCACACCCACACAGAAAAACCCCTTGGCTTCTTGTAGAATCATTTCCTCTATTTTTGTTTGCTTTGAATCATTCTCCACTTTACACATCTCCCCCTTCCCCCTTCTCTCCATCTGACATATCATGCAGACAGAGCTTGAATGAGTAACGTTTGCAAAGTTGCATCACTTGTGTGGAGGAAACAGCCATCTTATTTTCTGTCTCTTGCTGACCCCCTTGGCCTTTGTTAACAATGTAAAATACGTTTCCTTCCTGTTCACAAAGGATTAGATCAGCAATGGGTAAAACAATACGTGCACAGACAATACAGAAAACACTCCATCGCTTCACATTTGACCTAGATGCCTGTTTTAGAGTTTTGCCAGTCTTCCGTCTTTTAGGATATCGAGAGGGATTCAAGCACTTACTGGATATTTAGGTTTTCACAATTAAAATGTATTATCTCTTGTTTTGAAATTATTAAAACTGTTAGTTGCTTTTTCTTGCCCAGGGCAACCCAAAGTGTCTTACAAGCAAACGAAATGTTGCAGGATTGGATTAAAGGTGCATATTGGGGACTGATCAGGTTGAATGCTATAACAACGTATTATCATTGTGCGCACAATAGTTTCCAAAGTACCTCGGAAATCGAACAGAATCCGTTCTGGAAGTCGACTTCCAAAATGTTCAGAAACCAAGGCACGGCTACAGAAGCCACGGAAGCCCCATCAGACGTTCGGGTTCCAAAGAACGTTTGCAAACTGGAACACTCACTGGTTTGCGGTGTTTGGGAGCCAAAACGTTAAACTTGCAAGGTGTTCAGGATCCAAGGTACGACTGTATAGGAGGACAGATCCCTGCCATGAGGAGGTATCAGTGCAAAACTCCATATAGAAAAGAACCATGAGACCAGGTTCCAACATTAAGGCAAGCTAGACTTTTGCTTGTTCCTGGCAGCAAATGCAGGAAGAATTGTGGATTGGGAATTTTTCAGCAGTGTGTACTAGTACAGTAGTACCTCGGGTTACATACGCTTCAGGTTACATACACTTCAGGTTACAGACTCCGCTAACCCAGAAATATTACCTCGGGTTAAGAACTTTGCTTCAGAATGAGAACAGAAATTGTGGGCGCAGCGGCAGCAGGAGGCCCCATAAGCTAAAGTGGTGTCTCAGGTTAAGAACAGTTTCAGGTTAAGAACGGACCTCTGGAACGAATTAAGTACTTAACCCGAGGTACCACTGTATGCTGCACATTCACGTGAAGCCATCACCTGTTTTAAGCTATGGTTTAATGCAGGGGTCAGCAAACTTTTTCCGCAGGGGGCCGGTCCACTGTCCCTCAGACCTTGTGGGGGGCCGGACTGTATTTTTTGGGGGGAATCCCCCCAACTCTCCCCTCCCTTCTCCACAGCACTGAACGAGCCCCAGTGGCTGCGTACCTGTGCCTTGCGAGTGGCAGGGGTTGGCGGCGGCAGTGGTAGCAGAGGGACGATGAGCGGCAAGAAAGGGCTGGCTCTGGACAGGGGCTGCTTAAAATGGCGCTCAGCCAACCACAGCTCAACAAAGCCCAGCCCCCTTCCTCCTCTAGGCTGGGCGGGGAGAAGCCAGAAGGAGGGAGGGAGGGAGGAGGCGCCACCGTGGTGTGTGTGGGGGGGGAAATGGCGCAGCCTGAACGATCAGAATCCCCACGCCGATTCCCAAACCGTCCGCGGGCAGGATCCAGAAGGCAGTTGGGCCGGATCCAGCCCCCGGGCCTTAGTTTGCCTACCCATGGTTTAAAGTAAGATGGGAAGTAGACCACTTCATTCAAGCAAAGAATTGGGACCACTGCTTGGCAGATTGCTCATATCTCTACTACAAAATAAGGGATGCAAAAAGATTTTTTTTAATGAAGCACAAAGTATACAATCCCACTCCCACCTCAAGACGCAACAATCAGAAGCCCTATTAAAAGTAAAGGGACCCCTGACTGTTAGGTCCAGACGCAGATGACTCTGGGGTTGTGGTGCTCATCTCGCTTTACTGGCCGAGGGAGCCGGCGTACAGCATCCGGGTCATGTGGCCAGCATGACTAAGCCGCTTCTGGTGAACCAGAGCAGCGCACAAAAATGCCGTTTACCTTCTCACCGGAGCGGTACCTATGTATCTACTTGTACTGCATGCTTTCGAACTGCTAGGTTGGCAGGATCAGGGGACTGAGCAACGGGAGCTTAACCCATCGCGGGGATTCGAACCACCGACCTTCTGATCAGCAAGCCCTAGGCTCTGTGGTTTAGACCACAGCGCCACCCGCGTCCTATTACCTCCCTGCTATTTCTGGTCCTCCTCCTGTTTGTCTCACTCAAACATTTCCCCCCTGATTGCCATAGTGACTAGCTGAAACTTAAATCCTCTTCTGATTAGTGCAAATAATCTATCCGCTCATGTACAGTGCAAATCTACACAGAGAAGGGAAAAAACAGAGGGAAAACCCAAAATAGCCTAAAGAAGGATTTAGTGGGTGGGTGGAGGGGGCAATATTTTCATTCCAACCTTGAATGAACAAATGTGACCCTTTTCCCAGAGAGGAATTTGAAGAATTTATCTGGTTTCCTGAAGGCCAAGTGATTGCTCTGTCTTCTTAGCTCCAGTTGCCATTGAGACAAAGTGAAATTGTACCTTGGCATACCAGAGGACTCAACATGAATGCATGGGATCGACTTACAAACTCCACCCAAACAACCCCAAAACTTCACCCTGGCATGTAGTGTGGGGTTGCATCGTTTATGCTGTGGGTAAAGGATTTATTTATCTATAAAAAGCATTTATATACTGCCATCTCGTAAAACTTCAGGGTGTTGCACAGCTATACGCAGACAATAAAACATGAAAAACCACTGGGGGAAAAAGGAGTACGAAATAACTCATAAAATGCCTGGCTTCTCAAGAAGATGGTAAACAGCTATGGAGGACACAAGAGAAGCCTGAAAGCCAAGAGTGAGGGTGCCTGTCAAATCTCTGGTGAAAGTGTTTTCCATAGCATGGGATAAACATTAAATGCTTAACTTCTGTTTGTTAAGGAGACAAGTCAGGAGATGAGGAAGGATTTTGTTAGCTTATTTATGTTGCTTTCTGTTATGTTGCATGGATGTATATTCTATATTTATTGACATGCGTAATTGTTCTTAATTTGTGTGTTGGGGTGGAATTGTTATATTTGTTGCTGTTCATATGATATGTTATGAGCGGCCTACAAATAAACATACAGTGGTACCTTGGTTCTTTTTTCTTCTTCTTTTTTGTACCATGGTTCTTGAACGTAATCCGTAATTCCGGCGCCCTGTAAACAACAGCCGACAGCCGCATCAGACGTTTGGCTTCTGAAAAACGTTCGAAAACCGGAACACTTATTTCTGGGTTTTGGGCATTGGGGAGCTGAAATGTTTGAGTACCAAGGCGTTTGAGAACCACTGTATACTGATGGTGGCTTTTTTAAAAGAATGGAATAAAAATCAAAGGGATGGTTTGCAAAACGAGACGTGAGACCCAATTAAAGCCACTGGGCTCTTTGCCATTTATTGCTGCTTATCAAGGCTGCGGAGGAGAGCATCTGACCTGCCCAAAAATCTACAGGAATGTGTGGAGAAACCTGTCCCAGGGACCCTCAATTTCTCTTTTCAAAACCATGGCTTTCCCCCTCCCAAAGAATCCTGTGAACTGTAGTTTGTTACGGGTGCTGTGAAGTTGTTAGGAGGCCCCTATTCCCCTCACAGAGCTACAATTCCCAGAGGTCTCTGGTAAGAGGGATTGGTTGTTAAACCACTCTGGAAATTGCATAGCTCTCTGAGGGGAATAGGGGTCTTCTAAGACCTCTTAGCATCCTTCAACTACCATTCCCAGGATCCTTTTGGGGAAGCCATGGCTGTTTAAAGTGGTATGATACTGCTTTAGAAGCATAGTGCAGATGGGGCCCAAGTTTAACCCCTTATGTGACACAGACCCAGTAATAATAATCATAATTTATTACTTATACCCTGCCCATCTGGCTGGGTTTACCCAGCCACTCTGTTGCCGTCGCTAAGTGCCTGGAATGGGAATTTTAAAAAATAATACTTCCAAAATGTACGCTGCCACTATAAATGGTTGTGTGTCCCCCACCCCGGCCTTGAACACAGCTAAAGCCATAGCTAAATTAATAGATTTGATTGTGAATTTAGGGAACATGGCCAGCCAACACTAGCAGTTTAGCTCCTGGACAGAAGAGAGTGCCGGAACCTAGGTCATGTGGGCAAAGTCTTCCTTACTATGGCAACACACTGCAAATAGGGATGTCTTATTCCATAATAATAATAATACTGAACTCCTGGCCTACCTGGTGGCAAGTTCCCAGTCCGGGGTCAACCCACATGTCCAAAGTCCAAACTGAAGCACAATCCTGCAGAAATCCTGGAGCAGTCAAGCCAGTGCCAGATTACCAAATAGGCAGCAGCCTAGAGGCCCCACGCCTTTTAGGAGTCCTGCAACAAAAGATCAAAATAACATTGATTTGACCTGGAAAGCAAATTACAAACAAGCTTTCTTAGTTCAATGGGGTGGGGCTGAGATTCTGACCGCTTAGGGGCTCCACAGGGTTTAATCCGGCATTGATCCAAGCTGAGGTCTAACACGGTGTTAGAGCAGACACAGCACCTCAGCTCTGCTTTCCTTTTACACCTTGCTTGCTGATTGCAGCATCTGGGCTTGATGAGGCCTGTCACCCTCACCTGTCCCAAACCTAATCCAGCAGAGGAATCACACACCTCCCAGATCTAGCGAGCCTCACCTGGTCAGCTAGGAAGCTGGGCTTGGCTGTGTGATAAGAATTTTGAAGTCTTAGATATATGGTAATGTTCATAAGTGTACCAACCAAGCACATACATAGATCAGCACAGGAAGACCGACCTGGAACCATTTTTGATTCCCAAACTGAGCAAATGTTTTCTCTGCAAGGTCAAAGTGGGAAACCTCCCCATTGTCTCTTTCCTCACAAATCCTGTCTTAAGGGCACATTTAAGATATGAATAGGGTGTGAGCCTGTGACCTGGCCCAGGAACTAAGTATTTATCATTACAAAAGACTGGCCAGGCTCCCCAGGCAATGCAATCAAGTAACCTGCCAGACAGGAGATAAACAACGACAAGAGAAAAACAACATTTAAATTTCTGTTTTAAGACCGCCTTTTCTGTGATGTAGGTATGATGTATCTGAGGGGTGGTCTTAGGTTACACCCCTTCTGTGATGTATGTATGATGTTTCTGGGGGTGGTCGTGATCTACAGGGTGGCAATTTCAAGATGTCTATATAAGGCCTTGCGTGCCATTGTTCTGGCTTCCTCCTCTCTCCTGCGGGTGAGGGAGCACCCTGTTGCAACAGATCAATAAAGATCAGGCTTACTAGCTGCTTTGCTTCTCACTATTCTCGGGTTGGCCGTTGTTATTTTTTCCTACCAATAGGGAACCTATGTAAGGACTCTATATGGGCTCTTGGATACCCCATAAGGGAAAAGGGCAATTTTTGTTTACAACAGCCGCCTCAGCCTCCTGGACTGCCCCTCTCGCTGCTTCCTATGCTTTAGAGCCCACTGTGTTTGTGGAGACAGGGGTCCCTCTGGCTCTGGTGATGGGTCCTGCTGCTCTGGTTCTTGTGAACTGACCCCCATCCCCTCGCCATCCTCCATCACCCAGTGAATACTTCCTTCCCTGTCCCCTGCTTGCCCCGGTGTGTCCCAGTCCCAGCTATACCCCTCACTGGGATCCTCTTCCTCATCTTCTTCCTCCCCATCGTCCTGCCAGTTCATGACAATAATGCTCTCCCAACCTATATAAAAACATAATAAAACAACAACAACGATTTCATTATTTATACCCCGCCCATCTGGCTGGGTTTCCCAGCCACTCTGGGCGGCTCCCTACAGAATTAATGATAATAATAATAAAAAGTGATGAAACATCAGGCATTAAGAGCTCCCCTAAACACGGCTGCCTTCAGATCATAGCAGTCAACTTTTTTTGAGGGAAATTCCCTTATTCTGAACAGGATTCCTCGCAAGAAAAGGGAAAAGTTGACAGCTATGCTTCTGATGTCTTCGAAAAGTCAGGTAGTTGTTTATTTCCTTGACATCTGATGGGAGGGCGTTCCACAGGGCAGGCGCCACCACCAAGAAGGCCCTCTGCTTGGTTCCCTGTCACCTCACAACTCACAGGGAGGAAACTGCCAAAAGGCCCTCAGCGCTAGATCTCAGTGAACAATGGGGGTGGAGGCGCACCTTCAGGTATACCTGGCCAAGGCCTTTTAGGGCTTTAAACACTTTGAATTGTGCTCAGAAACGTACTGGGAATCAATGTAGATCTTTCAGGACTGGTGTTATGTGGTTTTGGCCACTCCCAGTCACCAGTCTAGCCGCCGCATTCTGGATTAATTGTAGTTTCTGGGTCACCCTAAAAAAACCCCCTTCTATACCTTCCAACATTTCACCAATCAAAATAGGGACCCCCTAAGGAAGAGTGGGACATTCTGGGATCAAATTAGAAACCAGGATGGCTTCTGTAAATCCGGGACTGTCCTTGGAAAAGGGTCTGTGGTGAGGTGTATCCACTGCTTAAGCCTCTACAATAGCAATTATTTCTAAATTGAAAGCTATGCATATAAAGCAGCATATGTGGATGTTATGCAAATATCTATCCTCTTATTTATGACACATTCTCTCTCCCCCCGCCCCATCCGTATCTCTCTCTCTTTCTCCAGTGCATTAAGTGGCCACCTTAGACACTGACACTATAGAAACTGTGCCAATTCTCTCACTCATTAAACAGCTTTAAGGCCTTGTTCCTGTGGCTCCAGTCACTGGGTGGATTACTCCTTGAGCAATTTCTAGACTAGTTTTCACCTGTTTATTTGGGCATAAAAGGATTCTCTGCCACACTCCTCTGATTGCAAAGTAAACTCATTTGCAGGTGCAGCCCTGTCAATCTGCGCAGGCAGATGGCAATTTGGAGTTCAAATGAGGTAGAACCAGGGGAATCTCAAACATTCATAAGAATAAATTAAACTCCAAGCACTTGTCCAAACAACTGCTGTTTAATTTGGAATCATCATATTGAGAATTATTTTCATATGAGCCACATAAAAAGTCTACCTTGGAACAAGGCTTTTTTAACGCCTCAATTCTTAATTGCAGATGAGGAAAATTACATTTTTTGCTTCTTGGAAGGGTGATGTTCATTGCAAAATGTTCTCAATGATAATGTTCTTTAAAAAAAAAACCTGTGATTTTGCCTATTCCAAATAAAAGGGCTATATTTAGACGTTTTCCATTATAATCTGCTAGTTTTCTCCAGGGTTTAATCACCCCCGAAGTGCAAAATAAAAGAGCCAGTGTTGTGTAATGATTAGAGTATTGGACTATGACCTTGGGAGACAAGGATTCAGACCCCAACTCAGACACGAAGCTCATCTTGAGCCAATCACCATCGCTCAGCCTAACCTAACCTCAAAGGGTTATTGAGAGGATAAAATGCAGACCTTCCAAGTGTCCCTATTTTCCAGGCACTGATACAGATTTATAGCTGTTCCGGTTTCTGATTTGATCCCGGAATGTCCTGTTTTTCCTTATGATGTTCCTATTTTCATCAAAACAATGTCGGTGGGTATGGTAGGATGTCCCTACTTTCATTGAAGAAATGTTGGAGGGTGTGGAGTTATGCAACCCCTGAGCCAAGGAGATAAGTAACTACACAACCTTTAGAAGACATCTGAAGGCATGTTTTACTATGTTTTTATATATGCTGGAAGCTGCCCAGAGTGGCTGGGGCAACCCAGTCAGATGGACAGGGTAGTATTATTATTGTTGTTGTTGTTGTTATGGAAAAGGACGTCCTGTTTTCACTGGAGAAATGTTGAAGGGTATGAAAATGGGGAGGGGTAGAACCATGTATACCACCTCAAGCTCCTTGGAGGAAAATGTGGTATATAAATAAATGTAATAAGTGAATAAAAATATTCCTTGTTAAGACAGGAATGCAGATGCTGATTGATAAGCCCAGTCAAGGTCTCTTAACAGTATAAATGTTTCTAATTTGTCGTCTTTTAATTTTGTGACTGCTGTCACCATCTGCAGTGATCATGGAACCCAAGAAAGTAAAATCTCTCACTGACTCCATTTCTTCCCCTTTTATTTGCCAGGAGGTGATGGGACCAGTGGCCATGATCTTAGTTTTTTTTTATGTTGAGCTTCATGACCACAGGATTACAATCTATTAAAGCATAGGAAATTTCTTTGTATCAAGTCAGGCTAGAAGTTAATCTAGCCAAATAATGCCTTTTCTGAATGCCTGCAGCTCTTCAGGGACTTTGGTAGAGGTCAAACATCTCCACCACCTCAGGCTTTTATTGGAGATACCAGAAATTGAACCTGCAGCTAAAGCAACGTGCTCTACCAGTGAGAGCCTTCCCTTTAGAGTCTGCTTTGGATATAAAGCACAAGGAAAGGGAAAAAAAATGAAAATGGATTGCGGAAGGCAATCAGCCTGAAAGCTCTTCAGCAAGAAGGTAAGTTTAGTCAGCTACTACTAACAGAGCTTTGAGTCTTTTTAGTTTTTGTCTGTTTCAGTATGCTTCTTCTTATGTTAACAGTGACATCTGTAAAGTTTCTCCCATTTCCCTTGTGTAGCATTTGTATTTAGAGATTTAACATGGATGCTATAAGAAATACTGTTTAAAAAGAAGGCACACTGATAAATTGTTTGGTTTTGTGTATATATATAAATGGTCTTTATGTATTTCATTTTTAGAACCTTCTTTATAATGAGTACTTGTAAGTTTTTCAC